CTGCAGGAAGGAAGAAGTGTGGACAGGGAAGAATACTTTTTTTGAAAGATTCCTGAGAATGGAGAGAATGTATGGTATAAAAGTTGGTAAAATCTCCCAAGTAGTTGCTCTTGGTGCAACCATAAGATTTGTCAGTATTGGTCCCCTTCTAATAATTTTTACTTTTGAGTTCATAGATTTCTGTTTCCTGATGCTATATATTAGTCACCCCAGTGGTCTGCTTCATAGTAAATCTGGACTTGATGTAAAGTCAGAATTTTCTTTTAAAAACATGTACACACATATGTGCACACACCCCAATTTGAAAAGGCTCCTTTTGGCTCGGTGCCCATTGCTCAGTGGTTAGGAAGCCGGCTACATACAGTGGGGGTGACGGGTTTGAACCCGGCCTGGGCCTGCTATAAACAACAATGACAGCTACAACAAAAAGATACCTGGGCTTTGTGGGGGCCTATAGTCCCAGCTACTTGGGAGGCTGAGACAAGAGAATAGCTTAAGCCCAAGAGTTTGAGGATGCTGTGAGCTGTGACGCTACAGCCTTCTACTGAGGGTGACATAGATGCTGCCTCCAAAAAAAAAAGGCTCCTTTTCACCTAAAATGGCTAATTTTGGCATCTGAAAGAATAAAAACAACAGTAGACTCAAGACCATCAAACATGTAAATGATTTTTAATCATACTAAAACAACTACAGGTTGTACCAGCTTATTACTCTGATAATAAAGGGAAAAAATTATTTGTTTCAGGGTAACCAGAAGTTGATGTGGTTAAGTTCTTTCTTGAAACATTTCACTTAATACAATCACAAGGAGTAAAAGAATTAGAAAATCACTATTCTTCAGTTGATAATTATATAGTAGATCTAGGTAAACACTGATGAATATTATTAGGCCAAAGCTTTATGGTGAACTCTATAGTGGAGGAATCAGGCTGACAATCCCTCAACTCCTGATCAATCTTGCTCTGGAAATAAGGCGAGCAGCCCTCAAGTGCCTTATGATATAGTACCATCGGAAATATGCAACATTCCTTGTAAAGGTTTTGTGTCTAAAAACTTGGGCTCAAATTTAACCAAGCTTATACAACTAATTATCAGTTTTTAAAATGTATGGGAGATAGAGCAATAAAACTTCATACCATGGAGAAGCAGTCTATCTAATCCAGAATGTGAAGTCATCCATTAGGTCGGAAGGTCTGGTTTCTGCAGTAGAACAATGGCATTGGAAAGGTGTTTGTGTGTGTTTGTGTGCATGCACATGTGTGTGGCAGGGGAGAATTCAGAGACAAAATTAATTCTGATTTAATATGAAAAAGGACATCTTTTATACCAAACTATATATGGAAAAAATAGGTCTGAAATTTGCTTTAAAATAATCTGGAAGAGGTGAGGCAGAACCAGTAAAGACTGTTTATGAATACATAAACTATTGAATTGAGTGATAGTATATGGGCATTTTGTTTATACTTCTTTTTGTGTATGTTTGAAGTGGTCAATAATAAAAAGATAAAAAGAAAAGCTACTTTGAAGGGAGCTGAGAAATCCGAATAGAAACACATATTAGATGATTTTTTAATTGTGGTTAATATTGTAAGGTTGTGATACTGTCTTTTTTTTTTTAAGATCTTATTAGAGATGCATTAAAGTGCCTGTGAGTCAAATGGCATGTCTGAAATTTGGATTTAAATAAAGACAAAAATAAATGTATTTATGTGGTGTGTTTTAGGATAGGTTGAAGATTGGGGCCAGAGGCAAGTGAAACAAGTATCAATTGATACTCATTGAAATTGGTTGGTAGATACTTGCTATTCTTGCTACTTTTGTGTATGTTTGGAAATTTCTGTAATACGAAGTAAAAAAGGGAATCCATATTGGTAGTATTAAAGCAATAGTGGTAATTAGAAAATTTAGAGGAAAACATTTAAGTTGAACAGTTGTAGACTTTTGTCACAGATGCAAGTAGGGTAAGATGTCATCAGAGCCTGTAACGTAAAAAGGTTTTTGTTACTGAAGCGTTAGGCCAAAACTGACATGAAGTTTTGTCTGGTGCTCTCCATGGCCTTTACTTAGAGAGCTTATAGATTTGCCTCATATATCCCCTGTGAGATGAACTTCTGTTTTTACTGTAAATATAGAAAATTGTTATAAATGGGTAAAGGCCAAGCATTTCTTTCTTTCTTTCTTTCTTTTTTTTTTTTTTGAGACAGAGTCTCAAGCTGTTGCCCTGGGTAGAATGCTATGGCATCACAGCTCATAGCAACCTCCAACTCTTGGGCTTAAGCTATTCTCTTGCCTCAGCCTCCCAAGTAAGCTGGGAGTACAGGTGCCCTCCACAATGCCCAGCTATTTTTTGTTACAGTTTTGCAGTTGTCATTGTTGTTTAGCAGGCCTGGGCTGGGTTCAAACCCGCCAGCCTGGGTGTATGTGGCTACTGTCATAATCACTGTGCTACAGGTGCCAAGTCTAAGCATTCTATTTAATGAAATTCTCCTTATACCCTTATATACTTCTACATATATCTCAACAACCAGGTAATTGATGGGTGGAATTGGTGCTAATGATTGAATGGAAAATGCCCGTTAACTTAAATGATTAGAGGGAAAATGCCAGATAACTCAAAATTACCATTACAGTGGGCTAGAGAATGGGTTGGAAATACTTAACGGTGAGTGAGACAAGTACCAACATGATTATGAGTTTACTAGCATTTCATTCTTTAAATTCACTAATGCTACTCCCCACTCTTGTTGCTGTCTTCTGCTCTGTCAGACTGTCTTGTGTACAAATTCCAATTTACAGAGTTCACATTAGCTAGTTCTGAGTTATTTTTATCCTCTTGGCAGACCCTGTACCATTGTTTTTATTTGGTCAACCTACTGTTGCACATACTAGAAGATCTTTGAGCCAAATCAGGCAAAACAGAAGTTTTATTTAAAATTACCTGGATACTGATGTTGATAATCTTTGTGTTTGTTGCTCATTAAATCCTTAGAGTCTTTATACATGCAAGAGGGCTTTTTTTTATGTTTTTCTTTACTATTGCATTTTACGTGAACAAATTTAGATGTTCCCTCCTCCATACACTTACAGGGACATAAACTTTCTCTCTCTCTCTCTTTCTGTGTGTCTGTCCCCAGACCAAATTATTTCCATTTCTATATTATAGTGCAGGTTATCTAAAGTCTTAAATACTTGTCTTTTACTTCTTTGCTCAGAGTATTTTTAATGATCTTCAAAATTTTGTTACAAGTTGTAGGTTATAAGTTATCATGTACATTACTACTTAATAATTACTATCTTACCTCTTATGAGGTAGTGATCAGTGTTCCCAAAATGTAGGTAGAGTATGTTTTTTAGTTGTGCTGTATAAATTAGCAATGCTGCTTTTCATTGTGTTCGAGGTGCATATTTTTACATTGCAGAAATCCAGAAGCTGTGATGTATTGTCATTGCCTGCACTTTTAAAAGTGCAGGTTATTACAATGGCATGACTGATTAGCTGCACCTCCTTGACTTTTCAGTAAACAAATAATTTAAGGACATTTGAGGAGGGAGCATAAATCCTGGCTGGTGTCTGAAAACCTTTCATCAGTACATTCTCCTAAGATGTAGATTGTTATCACCATTTATATATGCAAGTTAAGGATGTCAGTGACTAGAAAGTAAATCTGAAATATATTAGTGGAAGGAAATAGTGTTTGCTTATTTTTAAAGGGATGGGATCTCTGTTGCCCAGACTGGAGTGCAATGGCACCATCATAGCTCAATGTAAACTCTGAACTCCTGGGGTTGAGCAACCTTTCCATATCAGCCTCCTTAGTAGCTGGGACTGTAGGCGCACACTACGAGGCCTCAAGGCCTCACCAGGGAGTACAGGTTTAAGAGATACTTTATCCCTAAAGGTCTTGCTTTTATGTATAGGAGAGTGTTGTGTGGAAAATGTTGGCATTGATGACTGAGCGAAAAGTGATTCAGAAGATTCTTCTGTATTTCCAAAGGGAATGTGTTAATTCATTTTGCTTGTGTTTCTTTGCTGTATATCATTAACTTAGTGTTTTCTCCTCAGTGATACTTTAATTAAATTACAGTGGCTTCTTTGATTCAGTGAATATGGTACAGTACAATAAGGTAATCGTAGTTAAGAAACTTAAATTTTCTAAAACATATTTGGTCTTGAAAACAAAAATCAGTCTGCTTAAAAAGAAGAAATTGGTCTGAAACATCTTGGGATAATTGAGAATTAGATAGACTGTGAATCAGAAATGAGTACATTTGCTGTTTAAAACAAACATTTGATGACCAGATAAAAGTAGATTAAAGCATAAGTAATATAGCCATCAAGTTCATTCAATGATAGTTAAAATAGTGATTATCCATATTTGTTAACTTGTTTAAAAATTTCTATTGAGAGAAAAGACAGTGGAAAGCATTTTGTCACAAGATTTTAAGAATGAAATTTGTGTTAATGTATTTTTTAAAATTCCATTTGCTCTCCTTCTTTCCCACCCCCAATATGTGAATATTTTGAATAAGGCCTCCTAAAATGAATCACTACAAAACTTGTGACTTTATCTGTAAAGCCTACTTTCCTATAAAAAGGAAGAATATTCATAGCCAGTATAGCAGGATGGCAGCATCTTTAATTATAATGATGGAATATGGATTTTTTTTTTTTTTACCTTTCCAGACTTGTGAAATATTTTAAAATCTTATGCAAAGATCATTTTCTTCTTTTTGGATTAGTGATCATAAGATATGGGCTATGTAATTTCCAGACTAAAATAAAAATAAATTAATGTAACTGAAATTAGACATGATCTTGTATCTATCTTGGAGAAAATGTTTAATCCTCTACAGAGAATTTAAAATAATTTTTTTTTCTTATGGTTATAGGGCTACGCACCACCACCTAAAAATGGGATTGAACAGAAACGCCCTGGACGCCCCTTGAATATTACATCTTTAGTTAGGTTATCTTCAGCTGTGCCAAACCAGATTTCTATTTCTTGGGCATCAGAAATTGGAAAGGTAAGGAAAGCTGCTCCTATGAGTAGTTATGAGAGTGACCCCACTGGGAGTTTTTTCTTAGGGTGCCGGCCCCAGCTCTTTTAGCTTTCTGATGATAGTCTTTAAAAAGCAGTCATTTTCAATTCATAGATGGCTAGGTGGAGATTCTTAAGGTTAAAAACTTATTATTATTATTATTATTTTTTGAGACAGAGTTTCACTCTGTGCCCTGGGTAGAGTGCCAAGGAGTTCTAACTCACAGCAACCTCAAACTCTTGGGCTCAAGTGGTCCCTTTGCCTCAGCCTCCCGAGTAGCTGGTACTACAGGCACCCATCATGACACGTGGTTAGTTTTTTCTATTTTTAATAGAGAAAGGGTTTTGTTCTTGGCTCAGCTGGTCTCAAATTGAGTGCAGGCCATCCACCTACTTCACTCTCCCAGAGTGTTGAGATTATAGGTGTGAGGCACTGTGCCTGGCCAAGGTTATAAACTTAACTCTCAGGTTTCCTGATTATCATCTCTTCATTTTCCTGGAAAGGAAGTATGTATATTTATATTTCTTAAGATAATGTTCATTTGTGTGTGTGTGTGTGTGTGTATATATGTGTTTAAGTTGTAGTTTAAGAAACAGGAAGCCTTAGATAAATATTTATGGAGAAGAAAAAAGCTTTATTAGTCTTTGGGGGAGGTGGTTAAATGTACTCATGTTGTGATTAGAAATAATCTGTTCTGGCCTTTACATAAACAGCTGATATTTCAGATAATATGTGGGCATCTTGCATAAAAATATTTACTTAGAAATATATTATTTCCTCTACATCTTCAGGTTGATGAAGCTGGCTTTCTGCTCTTCTTATATTCAAAATGTATCAATTTTGAGATGCTGATAATACAAGAGGGAATTTATATCTTAGAATTACTTGTTTATATAATTGAAATTAGTTGGAAAAGACATTTCAAGTTAATTTCTGAACATGAACTTTATTGTTCCTATTTTATGGAAAGGATAGTATTCCGGTTTTGTGGATGGAAAGATTAAGGCACATTTTTATAGCAGGATTTTGTTTGTTTTATCACCAGGATAATTGCAGAGCAAGAAGTAACATGTGTATTTCAAAAAATGATTGTACACATGGAAAATTTGGCAGCTTTTTCATGTAATAGAAATAATATTCTCTTTTTGCAGTTAAAATAAATTGACCTGAAGTTTGCACGATAAATTGGGTATTCAGATATTTAGAAGGGCATTAAAAAATAATATTTAAAATATTTGATTTGCAACTGAAGTATTATGTATACTATAGACTCAATTGAATGAACTATATGTATGTGTGTTTATATATAGGGAAATGGTAAGATAGTGGTTTTTTTTTTTAGCACTTAGGTAAAATTATATTTTATCTCTTCAGTTTTATAAATAACTAATGAAGTTTCCTTTGAAACAATGAGCCTAAAATCTAAGAGGTACAGGATTAGATGCTATTATTTTCTGGCCTTGCCTTCTGGATTTTTATCATGTGTCTTATAAACTTTAGTAGCTGCCACTTTCTCAGTAAACTGTTTATTTAGGAATTAGGAGTTAATTTATCAAAGTTTTCCTCAAAAGAAAGCTGATACTGGGTTCCTTTGTGTGATATACTCAAAGACCATGTGACAAGTGGTCTCTTCTGCCACAGTTACAACTTTGGAACTCTTTGACCTGTTCATGGTAGTATGAGAGTGGTATTTGAACTTTGTTCCTGCAGTGGAACCATTTTTAAGTAAAAATTCATATGAGAGCCCCATTGTATAAAGCAGATAAATGTAGAATGAATCTGGTTAGAAGCAGACATGAGAGGGTACATTTTCACAGTAGCTTCTAAGGTACCTGTTTTGGTAAATAAGAAACAGTTTGAAAACCGCTGATTCAGTGTATCTTCCCTTATCAGTGGGTGTTTTAAGTGATTGATTGACACATACCTTTAAAATGACTGAGCTTTTATTTTCCCTGAAGTAGCCCAGTTGATTTTGTCCCCTTTCCAGTCATTTACTTTCCTGTGGAAGTTATTTTGAATGTTATTTTTAGAAGCCAGATAAGTATTTTATGAAATAAAGATAATATTTTCTGTCTTTAATATAGATTTTTTTGTTTGTAGAATTACTCCATGTCTGTATATCTTGTACGACAGCTCACATCAGCTATGTTATTACAGAGATTAAAAATGAAAGGTATTAGAAACCCCGATCATTCCAGAGCACTAAGTAAGTAATATTTGTAAGACTGAGCATTTAAGATGCTATAATGGAAAAAAAACAACACAATAAAAACTTACATACACATCAATATTTATGTTAGTATTTATTTAGCTTGTAACGTAGTAGTTTGTATACTTTACCTGGTGAATAAAATCACAGATCCTTTACTAAATATAGATAGTTTTTACTTATCAAAAGAAGTATAAGAATTTTTTTTTCTGCTTACAAACTAAATTATTGGAAACAATCAATATAGCCTAATAAAAACAGTAATAAATGTGTGTTAGAAAAGCTGAGGGTACTGCTCCATTTCAGCTTCCTCTTCTTATTGTTTTTTTCTTAAGTCTTGAAATAGCTTTCTGATTTGAAACTTCTTTACCAGCAGTTTTACTTTTAAAAAGAAATTTTAAAAATTTAAACATGTCTGAGAGTTTGCAAGTATGTAATTCTTTACCCTCAAATTGGGAGTATGGTTGTATTTTCACTATATTAATATTTAATGTTTTCTTAGTTTCTTAACCTAGTCAAAATGTTTGGGAAATTATAAAGTAAGATGCTATATATTTCTATTCTGTTCTTACGTTACCAACAATTTTATAAAATTTTAATTGTTCTCCTCCTCTTTTTAAAGTTAAAGAAAAACTTACTGCAGATCCTGATAGTGAAATTGCTACAACTAGCCTTCGGGTGTCCTTGATGTGCCCTGTAAGTAAAGCAACAAAATGTTTTGGGAAATTGTATTTTTTATAAGTGATTAATTTACCTATAAAAGTATGTGTTGGTATGTGTATTCTTCTTAGCAAAGTATCTCAAGAATGGAAGAAAAAGTATCCAGTGTACTCAGCCCTACTATGAAACTAATTTATAGCTTTCATATGAAAGCTATAACCCACCTATAGCCCAAGAATATGGGGAAAGGGGAAAGGGAGGGGAGGGGAGAGGATAGGTGGAGGGAGGATAATTGGTGGGACCACACCTATGGTGCATCTTACAGGGTACATGTGAAACTTACTAAATGTAGAATATAAATGTCTTAGCACAATAACTAAGAAAATGCCATGAAAGCTATGTTAACTAGTTTGATGAAAATATTTCAAATTGTATCTGAAACCAGCACATTACACCCAATGACTGCATTAATATACACAGCTATGATTTAATAAAAAATAAATATCAGAATACAAAAAAAAGGGTATGTATAGGAATGAATATTATGATAGAATTCTGAACTTTAATCTTTTCCCATTAAGGAATCTTCATGATTAAGCATTATAATTCTTTGCATTCATCAGGCAATGATTAAATTAAAAAAAAAAACCCAAAAAGACATTGTATTGAATAGGGAAAATGACTTTTTAGGCTCAGAGTAATCTGTCATAATTAATGTGTAGCTTATCCATAGCTAATAATAAACATACATATTTTAGGAGCTTTTATTAGACTGTAAATGGTATTAAAGTAATAATATGACTGGGGCCTGATAAGTGCTAACTGATGGTCTTGGTTTAATGAGTTAAGATTTGTAGAGTGTCTTCGGAATGTACTTTTAAATTGCACAATAATTTTTATTTTCTGTATTCTTTTTTTTTTTTTTTGAGACGGGGCCTCTAGCTATCCCCCTGGGTAGAGTGCCATGGCATCACAGCTCCAGCAACTGATAAGTGCTAACTGATGGTCTTGGTTTAATGAGTTAAGATTTGTAGAGTGTCTTCGGAATGTACTTTTAAATTGTTCTTTAATTTTTATTTTCTGTATTTAGGGAGAAAAAGATTGGCAAAAGTATGAGACAGCTCGACGCTTGAAAGGGGTTGTGGCTGAGATCCGCTCCCAATACCAGGCAGACTGGAGATCAGGAGGAATGAGGACCCGACAGAGGGCCGTGGCCCTTTACCTCATCGACAAGGTTC